AATATAATGTCAGCCTGGAGCTCTGGCGAAAAAAACTGTCGCTAGAGAAGTCTCTCATCATATCAGTCATTTTGCATGGGGCAACTCTTTTGAAGTAGTGATGGATTTGTCTACCTAGTAGCCAGCATCAACACCAAATATAATGTCAGCCTGGAGCTCTGGCGAAAAAAACTGTCGCTAGAGGGTGCCTAAAAGTCTCTCATCATATCAGTCATTTTGCATGGGGCAAAAACGAGAAGGTTTTTGGGGATTCAAGGGTAGAATGACGAACGGTACGAGCTTTTTAACGGAATTTTCATAGTTAAGTGCGTAAAAGTACCAATACTGCGCTTCCTTGAGCATGTTGTACACGTGGATCAAGATCCTTCAACTTAGCATCCATCGGTGGAAAACGAATGCAAGGGCGCCTACGAATAAAATGGAGACACCAAGTGTAGAAGGACGTAAAGGAGAGCGGCAACTGCTGAAGTTTGTTGGACATGAAAAAAATATTAGTGCCAAATAAACCGATTAACATTGACATTTATCTACTTTCACTTAATTTTGATTTTTGATTACTTTCATGGCGAATTTACGTAAATATTTTCTTTGCCACATTTGTCATCACAAAACAGTTGGCAGTCGTTGACAATTCCAATTGCCTGCGATGACCAATTCATCAATTATGTGTATGTTTGTGTGAGCGCATGCTATGGGTCATTGAGCGCATGTTCGAATGTACGTTGATATGTACGTAAGCAATGTGATCTACTCTGATGCCTCGCAGTGGAAGAAAAGTGCATTCAAATAGTTTACCTTTTTCATTTCCACAGGGATTTTGAATTTACTTGCGTTGAGTTTTGCATAGATTTCTCCTTAAAGGGATCGACTTTTTTGATTGTAGTGCAAGGATTTTTTACAGTGACTTGATTTGAATTTAGGTTGGGCGAAATTGCATGGGGAGATTTTCAGTTTTCATTTACTTCCACATATGCAGCAAATAGTATTGCGTGCATGACCACTGGCATGCGCATGAGGTCAACTGAAATTTTATGAAATTCATTTTTAATATATGTATACGATTATGAAGACGAAATGCCATTTCTATTCAGTTAAACCAGAAACGAAAACAATTTCAATTCGCTACTTAAATTATATCATGAATTCGTCACCATTTCATAACACCTAAATAAACCATATTTATGCATATTCGTATAACTACTTATGCGTGGGAGTGCAGCCCTTTAAGTTGCATGCAGCACAATGTTCAATTGCACAAACGCTTGCATAAAGATAACCAACTACTGGTTTGCCATTCGAACAATTCAAGATTTGCCGAGTGAGGCAAGTGAGCGCGTTACCTTTCTAGCTACATATACAATTTCAGTGTTGCATAAGTAAGTACCGGTTCCCGCTGAAATACTTATTATCAAAATCATATGGCCTACTGCCACTGCAATATGCCGTAGGAACGTGAAGTACAAGCGAGAGTTAATACATACATATATATACATATATATATACATAAGTATGTATGTATTTACCTGCAATAGCGAGAAATCCACTTTGATTAGCCGCTGCTTGGAGCGCGGCGTTGTGTGCGGCTCCACGTTCTCTGTCATTTTCAGCGCATTAACTGTTGCATGTTGCATTGGCGCTGTTGTTGTTGTTGCTTTTGATGTTGCTGACGATGAATTGATTAGTGTTGCTGTTGTTATTGCTGGTGTTGTTGTCGCCATTAGCGTTGTGGTTGGTGGGAGCACTGCAAGTGAAAGGAAAAGGAAATGTTTGCAATTTTATTTGGGATAAATTAGGTAATGCGAATAAGCCTTCGTAGTTATAGTTCTTTTCTAAATCGAAATTTGAAAACAAAATTTTTAAATTTCGGCACTGTCCTCTTTTTTATTTCGGTTTGCATATCGGAAAGATGCTTAATCCAAGCGATTAAAGGGTTTTCAAAAGTGGCCAGTTTCGGGAGGCAATGAAAAAAGACAGAGTATACTCGTGTTACCCTCATGGAAAAATTCTAGTAGAAGACCATAGGTCGCAATGATAATAAGCCAGAAGAAATCTGGATCATTTCAATTTCCAGATCGTTTATCATTAGGGTGCACTGTCCACTTACGGAACAGTTTTTCATTTTCTGTGCAAGAAAAATTTCGTGTCTTAAATCTTTCGTTGACTTCATTTGCATAATTATGTTTCGGTCCTTTTTTCGATTAATTTTAATATCCAAACATTTCAAACTAATGGAATGGTATGAGAAAAAATATTTTAACACTTCCTTTCTTCGCGAATAGTTCAGAAAAGATTTGTTCCAGTTTCGTTCTCTATTAGAAAATTCCTGAGACTCTAGTTCAGAAATTGTTCTTCGAGAGAAAGTTCCTTAGGTCTTTGTTCCCGTTTTGTTCTTTACCAAAACGTTCCGGAGAGTTTTGTTTCCATTTTGTTCTATTAGAAATGTTACCGAAAGTGATGGGGTGCAATAACTCCATACGCAATAAAGCCTTATGGTCTTATTTACATTTTGTTTTGGAAATAAAACCAGATGACGTTGTTTCCAATCCAGAAGTGAAATAAAGTCATATTCAAAATTGCAAAAATGAGTAATAAATGCATGTCTGACCATACTACTTGTGGATCACATTTTTCCTATTATTTGACTGTGGGCGTGTTCCTTTATTATTCAGTCCGGTTCTAAAAGAGAATAGTCGTTTAGTTTATCAGGAACAATGGGTATAAAGAAACAGAAGAGAATTCGGGAACAACGTTCTAATGAATAAGTGAACAGAAAAATGTATTCCGAATGTGAATAAAGAAACTCTCGGCGTGTGTTAAAATTGTTATGGTAATTTTCCAGTTTACGAACACTTAGGGAAAATCAGTGGTAATGATCAAATTATTTCGTCAAAAGGGGTATCAAATAGACGCATTTCAAATTTCCCAGTATTATGAATCCGGGTACGGAAATTAACTTTTTTTTGAATATTTCAAAAGTTATCGGTAGAAAATATATTCCGAACGTCGTTTACGATGTTAATTCAAGGCGGCACCTTTAAATCATAAAAACTAACAGCCTTTCTTAAAAACTCTTTTGAGTACCTACTAATAATTCAAATAATTATGAATGAAGTTTTCTAAATTCGGCTTTGCCATATGCAATATTTTTGCGCGCACAACTCCTTTTTGAGTAGGCGACCTTCGGCCGCAGCTTCAAAGCACCAGCTCTAGCCGTACCAATATCTCGGCTACGCTGATACTGAATTATTTAAATTGATACAAATTATTACTAATAAAATGAAATAAATAATTATTTGATATTTCCGGATTTATTGGATATTAGAAAATAAATATATGTACTTATGTAAGTTTTAATTTTGCGAGTGCATAACTTGGCGGGTGCACATTTGTACGCCTCCCAGCGCCGCGCTCGCGACTCCCGCGTCCCGCTGCACTGCTCTCGCGCACAGTCCCAGGTATACTAGAAATCCACACCATGGGACATTGTTTTTGATTGTAATTAATCTTCGAGTGAATATTCGTTTTTCGATTTTGCGACAAAGGAG